TAGTGGTAAGAGATTAATTTTTTAAAATTTGTCTTTATATCTGTAGTGGAGATAGTCAGAAGTCACTTTCTGTTTCAATTTTCTATCTATCCTCACTATTTTAGTTTTTGCCTTTTTTTCTTTTAGCTCTATCTTCTCTCTTTGCTGTACTCTGTTTTGTATTTTAATTGTACTTTGTAATATAATATAATATAATAAAGTTCTTATTAAAAACAAAAAAACAAAAAGTGCCTGGGTACTCTCTAAACATCTGAGCTAGTTCACACTCAGTGTGCTCCTTAAGGGGAAACTGGGATCAACCAGGCTATATGCTGCAGAGAAACCATGTTCCCAGGCAATGGAAGTCACTGCAGAACACTGGGCTAGGTCATGGGTGCAAAGACTTTTCTAAAAGAAGGTTGAAATTTCACAGGATCTCTTATTTGTTTAGTTAAGGAGGCTACTAGAAAATGACTCAGTTCTTGCGAGCGCTTGGTCTCCAAGCCTCCAAGCCAAAGTGGGGAGCCCCTGAGGCAACATGCAGAGTCCTCTCATCTTTTCAGTCAGAAATGGGGCAAGAGGATATAACTAAAAGCTCATATCAATATTTACAGGTTCTTATGCTACCAGGTTGGTTAGATGCTTTCTCTTTAATATAATTTTTAATTGTACCAAGAAAACAGACCTTCAGGACTTAATACTTGCACCTCATTTAACAGACACATCTCAAAATGCTTAAAAGATCATTTCTACAATTCTAGAAACAACTCTTATCAGGAGCATTAGCTGTCCCGCGCGTATTAGGAATGCTTTAATACTTGAATTGACCGGGCCATTACTATTACAGTTTTTCTGATCTGGAATTTAAAAACAAAACAAACACAAACCAGTCTGCAAATATGGAGGTTAATAAGACTCTCCACTGTAATTCCTCTTGTCTATGTTCCAAGATTTAACTTCTGCAGCAAGCCACAGCCTAATAATAATTTGGAAAAGAGAAAGCAACACAGTAGCCTTTCATGTCCAGCAGGCATATTCAACTAGACCTAGAGGTTTTGGTGCCCTAAGCAAAAGCAGCTGCCTTTTATAAATTCCTTCTTTCTTTTCTGTAGAAGACATACTTACCAGCGCAAGTAGCAATACGTAGCTTCCACATTGTAGTACTTACTCCCAGCCAGGGTTCCAAGCTGATTAAAAGGCATTCCTATCCCCAGAAGACAGAAATCAAAGCAAGCGCATGCTATTATTAAACAACCGAAAGAAACCAACATCTAGTGCACTTCCAAGTTATCCTTCACAAACACAGGGATTCTTCACTCTGCACAATTTTTGCATTTGAAGCAGAAATTTCTGGGCCAGGCTGTGTATGTGACCCTGATGCCTAAGTCTGTTCTAAAGGTCTAGTGTAGCACCAAAGCCAGTAACCCATTAAGAAGCCTAAGAAATTAGATAAAATTGGTGTTAATTATTTACATGAGCTTCGAAATAACAAATGTGAACATTCTGTTCTTAGTGAAAGGTTGCCTTAAAAATATCAAGTTAGTTTCTTTTGATCATACAATGAAGTTACTATCAGAGAAGCCTTTTGTGTTTTCCAGACACAAAGAAGGTTTAATAAGTACTGACTGCAATTGCCCTGTTGTTGGAGATCCCATTAAGGAGTTGTATATATTCTTCTTGGCTATATTCCCAATAGGACTGCTGATATGGGCTGTCAACATATGAATCATCATTTTTTTGAGAAGGTGAAGAAGTAAATTATTTTTGAGCAGTATGGCCAAATTTTGGAGAGTTATTTTGTTTGATATATTTGCCTGGTTCCTTTGATGTAATAATAAAAATTAAAGCTATAAAAGTTGCTGACTCATATGCTATTTGTGATCAATTACAAAATGCATACCTATATGTGTGATTATGTGCACATGTATACGTGCATGTAAGATTACTAAATACTTACCAATTTGTGGTGCAACAGAAAGGGCTTGATAGTAGAACCTCTCAGCCAGCAATTCTGTGTCTACGCCTGCCAATTCATTCTGGTATCGAGCTGATGAGGAACAAAAAATATACAAGAGCCTTAAGAAATACATTTAAGACGATGCACATAAGATGACACTTAAGATGAGGGACTCAGTTACATGCAAGAATGAAATGGTGAAGCTTTATGCCACCCAACTGAAAGAAATATATACTAACCCTTTTACGTAGCTGAGCATCTAGCAAATGTTTCAGGCAGTAGGAGATCCTTAGTTCTCAAAATGCAGTTGAAAAATAAAATCAATGCCCCTAAGGGCTTATCTCAAACTCTGATTATCACAATCAATATGCCCTGCTACCCAGACAGTTTTTTCCCCCTGATTTCAAATGAATCCAAGCCTCGGGACTTTCACTTTATCTCAGGAAAATGCTCTCCTGCTGATCCATGCCAGCTCTCACCTAAATCCCCCAGATAAACCAGACACCGGTGGCAGGCTATTTGAGCCCAGTCCATCTCCTTCTCTGATGCAGAGACTGGCTTCTTGCAACCTGCAGAAGAGATAACCAACAGGGCGATGCGGCATTAGAGCAAGATGCTGGGAAACCAAGACAGCCAGGGTGCTATGTCAACCTTTGCTTACTTTTGCTCACTGTCAGGCCTCCTATGTGTGTCCCCCACCTGGAAAATACACAACAATTTCCCTTTTCAAAATTGCCAGGGAGCTTCTTAAGCCTGGAACAGCAAAAGGGCAACACCAAAGAAAGCCTTAACACCACAAGGGAATGGAGCAGGTCTCACACAGCAGTGGTTCACACACAGGACTCAACCACAAAACTGTGGCTTGGTTTTGGTTTAGCAAGTTGTGTAAATGCACACTTCACAGTTTGTATGCCATAATTTATGATCTAAGATAACTGTATCATAAATTTAACTGCCAGGTCTGTGAACATGCCACAAAATCAGCAACAATAATTTGTTCTGATTGGAAAATATATTCTAATTTTTATTTTTATTTTTGTAGATTGCAGGCAGATGGAAACACATCTGGAAAAAAATCAGATTGGGAAAAGCTGCAGTAGAGGTTTTCTTAAAACGGGCCCCTTTGAGCTTCAATGTCTCATTTTGGGGAGCTTATAATTCATCTCTGTGCTGTCAAGTGCTTTTACAGAGATTCGGGTGAGATTTTAAGGTGTAACCAGGGTGCCAAAAGCTGAAGAACTTTAGCGTGGGCCTGAAAATTGTAAAAAGAACTCCATCAATTCTACAGTAATGCCAGTGAGATACTCACAGCAACGGTTGCCAAGGACACTAGTCATTTAGCATGTTACACTGGGCTACAGCCCTAGATTCCCACCAGCCAAGAGCTGAATATCTGCAAATGTGGTTAGCAGTTATCTAATCAAAAATCAAGCTGGGATTGTATCCTTTTTCAAGGCAATTTTTCATCTGGAAATTTCTATCTCACATAAGCTGTTGAGGAATCTCAGGCAATTACAATAAATTTCAAGTTAACTGCATAAGAAACAGAATTATAAAATCTAAGGCAGATCCATTTCCCCTTTTTAAAGCTGCACCTAACAACTTGGAAAGACTCTATCCAGTTAAATTAGAAGCCAGTGTGATATAGTTTAAATACCCATGCAAATGTCATACAAAATTTTTCTTTACATTAGATTACCAGTTCCCAATCATTTAGTTTAGGAGGACTGCTATGCTGTTAATTAAAAATTATTGTGGGCCAACAGAGGTCTGCAACCCAAAATCGAGGGGCATTTTTTTACCAAGAGCATGATAATATGCATTAAACCCCAAGACAAAGTCTGTAGAATCCCCATATTAAAGTTAATTTTAAATAAATGCTTAAAAAATTAAATGAACACTCCAAATCTCATGAGATTTTGAATACCAACACCAAAATCACCCAAAATATTAGCCACCTCCAAAAAAAAGATATCTACACTACAGACCACCTGCAATGTTCTCACAAACACTTCTTGAAAATCATTCCTCAGATGTTTCACAGGTTACTGAATATTTATTTTACTATATCAACTTATATAGCTGCCCATCTCATAATTTCAACCCTATGTTTCATTATACCATTTATTCAATAACTTCCACATACTGAGAAATGTTTAAATAACTATCTCTTTACTCAAGTGCATAAAAGAGAAGGCAGTAGTAGTAGGGCATCTGCAAAGTATAATGACCACAATAAATAAAACAGGTCTCCCCCAAGAAGGAAGCAAAGCAAGCACCAAGTGGAACATAAACTGAAACACTGGTATGTCCATACGGCCAGAGCACAAGTAGTGTACAGAGGGTCAAAGCCACAAATGAGGTGATTCCTATTCTCTCTTCCACACATAAGCATGGCCAAGCAAGGCATCTACCTTTCTTCTTAATGAGCGAGTGAATTCACACATGATCATCCAGTCTTTAAGGAAGGTAGAGCTCAAGTTGTTTAAAACTTAACCAGATGTTTCTTCAGGAAAAGAAATTCAAGGGTGCTTCTCATGTCCGCAAAACATAAACAGGCCAGATGTGTCAAGCAGCTCTTGCACAGGATAAAATCTTTCTTCAAAGTACGCATCAGCCTAAGTACTGACCTATCAGGGGATCTGTAACGTGGGTCCAGTCAATGCAACACTGCAACTCCAGCTGATAGTGAGACTGAATGTAGAGAAGCAAGTGCTGGTAAAACCCGATGCCAGCAATCAGGTGAGTCCGGTAAGCGCACTCTAGGGTACTACGACTATGAATGTGCTGTGGGTTGGGAAACAAGAGAGAAAGTCAGGATGTATCTCCAGCTTTTCACTATTGCTTTCCCAAAAAGAGATCAAGCCAAAGATTAATTCAGCAGTAAACAATTCCATTTCTGCCCACCTCATGCTTGCTCTCTTTAGGAAAGCTCCAATGCATATCACTGACTGCGCTCAGTCAATGCAGGGAAAGAGCTGAAATCATGGCTGAAAAATCCAGCTGCAGTTTATTGCTGGGAGTCATGCTTTGAGAACCAACTTTTTTAGCACAGTTCAATCAAACCTGCTTTAGCACAGTATGTGCTAAAACTCAACCATTATCTTTCATTCTGGAAGGAATATATACACCCTAGATTTACCCATGCATTCTCTGCTTTGTTCGAAGAGATTAATCATTAATTACTGATTCCACAATCTCTTAATTGAAAGAGACAAGAACCAAATTACCTAGCCAGGTAGTAATCCTGCAACTGTCCTGCTTCAAAATCCCAGACTGAATGAACTGTAGTGTTATTTGCCCAGAAACATTTCTCCCCTTTCTCTGATATTCTTATTTATTTTTTTATCTTTTAGCTGGGCAAGCCTCCCAAGGCACAGAATTGCCATCCCAGTGAAAGTCAGACCAAAACAAAAGAGCAATAACGCCTTTCCAGCCCAACATATCTAGAAGGCAAGAGATCGGGGGAAGGCTTGGATAGCTTTTTGGCTCTTCTGAACAAACAAATGATATTCAAAGAACCAGCAGTGGAAAGGCTGTGACAACCACTATTGGGCACAACAAGCCACCAAGGCTGACAGCTGGGTATGAACTACTGCTGTGGTCACAAGATAGATCAACACTGACCTAGTGCATTGTCATACAAAAATATCAGAATGTATAACATGCCTTTTTATTTGTTTTAATCAGCTGGATGACTTCATAGTAAACTTTCCGCCACAGCAGTTCCTCTGCTTTCCTCCCATAGTCCACAGGGTGTAGGAACATCAGCTTTACACACAGTTCGCGGAGCCTGGGGCAAGAGTGAAGGAGGAGAGAAGCTGCTTAAAGTTTGTCTAAAAACCACTTTTTTAGCCCTAATCATATATGTGAGCCTAAGATCTGAGAGAAGGAGCCAAAAGTACCTTACCTTTTCGGATCTTACTGAGACAAATGAGCGGCCAGTGGGATGCCTCCAAGATCCCTCGGCTCATAAACAAGCTCCTTGGGTAACTGCAACTTTTAAAGACTAAGAACTGCAGTGTCTCCTGAATAAGTTCTGCTAAAAGTCAGCAGATGCTCCTAATCCTCCACATCCATCCAGGCCACTCAATCTGCACAGCAGGACCTAGACCCAAAGCTAGTATGCTGCTTATGTATAAAGTTGCTTCCAAACAATATTCTGTGCAATGGAACTATGTTGGTGCTGAACTTCTGGAAAAGTAGCCCTAGAGAGAAACAATGCTCTACCCTGAATAAATGGCAAGCTAGTTTTACCCCACAGGAATATGAACCTCTTTTATAATATCCTGTATTTTCACGGAACTCAGTTTTTTCAAGCAATCTTTCACCTAGACCCATTCTATTCGAATAAGACTGCTGCATCCTGTCCTTTCAAGACCACCCATCTGGTTGAAACACAGAGTATGAAATAAAGAAAGGCCTAACTTTCTTACTTGTTTCTCAGGCTGATGTTCTCTGGCTTAAAAACTTCTTGATAAGCTGCCTTGTTTCCAAGAATGAGATCCAATCGATGCACTGCTTCAACCACAGCTCTACAAAAAGCACAGGAGGCATTCAAGTTAAGAAGACACTGTTGCTTGGAAATTCTTCGGTTGGACTCAGACGTAACATGAAACCATTATATGCTTTGACTATCGATAGCTCAGCACGTTATGTGAACCCACCATAGCAGTTTGTATCATTTATGGCTTAGTGTGCAATTGTGGCTTATTGTCACATGCGATCCAGGCTTTTACTGTCAGGACCTAGTACAGCCACCTTTCTGGAATGCCTAGCTGCAGGACTGTAAAACAGGCTGCTTCCAGTAACGGGAAAGAACCTGGGAAAAAGCCCAAGCCCTCATTCTTTGCCTTCCCAAAGAAGGAACACTGCTGAATGGTACTGACCTCCATGCCCCCCCCAAAACAGACTTAAAAGCAGCACTTCTCTGAGATACGAAGACACTTGCCAGGTTTGCTCCTTGGTAGAAAGCAAGCCAGATGCCATGGTCTATTAAAAGACCTCACAGTGGCACCATCTGTCAAGTTCTATGGCCACAATCCAGTGACAAGCGTTCCAAAAGCAGGAAAGATGACAGATCAAGCCATCCAGGCTGTGCCATGCAGAACATTCAAACACCAGCTCAACCACAGGCATCAAAAGTGACCTTTGCAAAGTCACCCTCACAAGCACTGTACTCAAATGCTTGACCCTTAAAAGGGATGGTAGGAGAGGCAACTATCTGAACCTTGACCTGACATTCATGTCATGGTGTGACACTGATTTTAATTGGGGGTTATTTATATTTTTGTTTTTATTGTCTTGGTTAATTGTAAGCTGTCCAGAGTCACCCTCTGTGGGAGATGGGCAGCATATAAATTTAATAATAAATAAATAAAATGGTGTGTGCTTTTTGGGGGATACTTATAGCATTAAGACCCTTCCGCTAAATGAGATCACAATATTATCTCAACCAAAATTGAGAGTGCTATTGGATGGCACAGAACAAAGAGAATTATTTAACTTGAAAGAAGTTGGAGTAACTCTATGAAGTACTTGGGAACTATCTCCTATCACCAGTGTCTGGGAAGTCCCCACAGAATGTGGGGGCAGTGGGGGGGAAGACTCTCTGTTGCCTGATTAATATCACCGAGTCTATACCACTGGAAGCATTTCTGTTGCTGGCTGTAGCAGACAGGCATGGCAAACTGGCAAATCTACAGAGAAGGTTGAAATGTGGGTTACTGGGCTGTGGGTTGCCAGCCTCCTAAACACCCCCCCCCCCCCCCCCGTGCAACATCCCCTCTAAAAGTGTCAGGCTACAACCGCCATCCCTGACTGGGGATAAGAGGGAAAACTCTTGATGTGTCTGATAGGGGAAAGCTAAAAAGAAGCATCGGATGGGTCCCAAAGGTTGTAGCAAAAAGGACAAAATTCAGCTGCTGATTTAGGGGACACACAAGGGGTAAAAGGGGGGCTGTGTTGACTGCCTCGCTGGCTGGAGGCAATGGGGAATCAGTTCCACGTGGCCATATGTCTTGCTGGCTGGGACTCCTGGTGACTGTCCCGGCAGCCCTGAATAGGTGCAGTTCGCGGTGGCTGGAGACAACGGGAGCTGCAGTCGCAGGACGCCATGCGGGGTGGGGATAATGGGGGATGTAGTCGCACCCCGCTTCAACCGGGGATAAGGCGGACCATAGCCCCCCTCTCTGCTGGCCCGGGGGCGATGGGGGGTGTTCCCACGCGCCCTCATTCCACGCCTGCGGAGGATAATGGGTGTGGAAGCCCCGCACGGCCACGTCCGGGCCAGGAAGTGGCGACGAGGAGGTGATCCCCCCGCTGGGCTGCCTCGGGGTGTACACCATGCGGCCGCCTTCCTCGCCTGCGGGGATGATGGGATCTGCAGTCCCGCATGGCCACTCCGCGCTTGCCGTT